GTATCTGACTCATAGCTTTCGAACCCTTTTGCTTGCATCATATTTCGGTATGCTTGATACCTATGATACACACCGTATGTTGCCATTGTTCCAACTGCTCCTAGTGCAGCTCCCCCGACAAAACCAGCTGCTACTCCTAATCCTAAAGCTTTTCTAGAAAACCCTATCTTCTCCACGTACATTGTTTCCTTGGTAAACCTTGTACCGTAGTTTGTACCGTATCCATGTTGGATGCTCTTAGGGGTACTTTTGCTTTTTGCTTTATTCATCCGGACTCCTGATATACCAGTCATCCATTTCTGCTTAGGATATGTACTGCTAGCTATACCTCTTCCTAGTAAACGGAATTATATATCTTTTTATAATGTTTCTTTTCATCAAAAATGTAGAACTTAAAAAACTTTATTTAATGAAAAAAGAATGATTAATGATAAAAACATGGTTTTCTTTAAAATCCAATTTTTAATCAAATATTTTGAAGTTTTCAGCTCAAATCTCTTCCAATTAAATAATATTTTGTTTCTTAATTTTCAAAAAAAATGATTTTTAAACTGAAAAGTGAACAATATTTAGTAAATAAAACTTTTAATTAAGCTATTTTGACTTTTCTGTATATGTCTTACTAGCTGATGGGCCCGGCGTTGCCCGTGGAAAAAAAAATTTCGAATTTTTTTAGCCTATAACACCCCTCGGCCACCCATGAGTGTCCACAAAAAAATTCAGACCATTTGGTCGAGCCGTTTGGCCGGCTATACGCAACATATGTATACGAATGTCTTGTTTTTATTATATAGATTAATTGTATGCTTAACTTAAAAGTCGTTGTTGATGATGCTCAAAACCTCACAGAGGAAATAAAATAGGTGTTTATTCAACGTTTTATGGAAATATATTTACCCTCTAAAGTTCTTGAGATTTGCTTCTGTCATAAAGATTTAAAACATATTCTTCATATGCATATGAAGTTTGACTTTTCGACAATTGGAAAATTGCAATATTTAAGGGGGGGGGGAACATACCTCACTTTTTTTCATCTTCTCAGCCTTTTGCTTCAAAATAGACGATTATTTATCGCCTTATTATAATCAAAAGTAAAGAGTTTATGTTTCATAATTGTAAAAGCACAATTATTGACAAATATAATTCCTCCTGAGCTTCTACTAATCCATATAAAATTAGTTCTCCTAGATCCTCCACCGAATATACTTCCTCCTCGACCTCTGCCACCACCTCCACCTCTGCCACCACCTCCACCTCTGCCACCACCACCTCCTCTACCTCCTCCACCTTTCCCTTCAACAAGAAGAACAACTAATAATAATAGAATAAATATTTTCATCCTTGCTCTGAGGTTGTTGACTGTTGAAATCTGACTGCAGGATCTCAACTAGGATTCAACATAGTTCAAAGGTCATAGAACAAAATAAACAACAAAATTAAAAAGTTTGTTAAAAGGTTTATTCTAAAACGACCTTCTCCCATTTGGATAAACATTTGAACACAGCTAAATCACCGCAAAAACGATTGTTCATTTAAAATTTCAAAAAATGGGAAAGCAAATATTTGAAAAACTTTAAAAATTTTTAGACAATTTTTTGTCTAAAATGCTATAACTTTTTTGTTTTGAAGCAATTTTTTAACCCCCTAAGAAATTGTTTTACACCCTTCATATTGTATCAAATTATGAGTTTTAGTAAATTTGAAATAAATCATTAGACACCAATTAGCAACTGAAAAACTAGAAAGATCACCAATTTCAACAATCCAAATACCTCCATTTTTTGGATTAGGAAAATGGTTTAGTCTATCCGACAACTGAAGGATGATTCTGAGACCCTGAATTTTCAAAACATTTTGCCAAAAGACATGTGCACTTGTAAACATATTTACGAGGAGAAGTAAGTACGTATCTCGAGGCCTGTAGCCTAAAAGATATAAACTAATGATAATTAAGTTCGATGAAATGTATATCCAATATCCATGCATATCCATGTAAACAAACATTTAAAGGGAGTGTTCGCGAAAAATGAAAGGGGGTATTAGGCTTAATGCGATAAAAAAGCGCTTTTGATCGCTACTAATCTTACTTCTATCTGTTGCGTCTATAAGGAGAAAATTGTTAAAGACGTCTCATTATATGTATGGATATGTATGGATATGTATGTATATGTATGGATGTGTATGGATATGTATGGATATGTATGGATGTGTATGGATATGTATGGATATGTATGGATGTGTATGGATATGTATGGGTATGTAGTGATATGTTTGGGTATGTATGGATATGTATGGATATGTATGGATATGTATGGATATGTATGGATGTGTATGGATGTGTATGGATATGTATGGATATGTATGGATATGTATGGATGTGTATGGATATGTATGGATATGTATGGATGTGTATGGATATATATGGATATGTAGTGATATGTATGAATATGTATGGATATGTATGGATATGTATGGATATGTATGGATATGTATGGTGGATGTGTATGGATATATAGTGATATGTATGAATATGTATGGATATGTATGGATATGTATGGATATGTATGGATATGTAAGGATATGTAAGGATATGTAAGGATATGTAGTGATATGTATGAATATGTATGGATATGTATGGATATGTATGGATGTGTATGGATATGTATGGGTATGTAGTGATATGTTTGGGTATGTATGGATATGAATGGATATGTATGGATATGTATGGATATATATGGATATGTATGGATATGTATGGGTATGTAGTGATATGTTTGGGTATATATGAATATGTATGTATATGTAAGGATATGTATGGATATATATGGATATATAGTGTGATGTATGAATAGGTATGGATATGTATGGATATGCATGGATATGTATAAATATATATGGATATGTATTTATATGTATGGATATGTATGGATATGTGTGGATATGTATGGATGTGGATGGATACGTATGGATATGTATGGACATGTATGGATATGAATGGGCATGTATGGATATGTATGGATATGTAGTGATATGTATGGATATGTATGGATATGTATGGATATGTATGGATATGTATGGATATGTATGGATATATATGAATATGTTGTTGCACAATTTTAGAGAATTGCTATCTAATCCCGATAATAAATAAATGACAAGGTTCAGTAACGTAAATCTTTATTGATAAATACAATCTTCTTAGAAAGGGTTCCGTTCAGTTCACAGATTGATAACAGCACAGCGGTTTCAACCACTAATTAAACATAATGTTAAGTGTATGTAGCAAATTTCAGCAATAACTTTGCTATATTAGCAATGTTGACAGTTAAGCAATACATGCTTAACCCAACGCAGGGTTAGACTCGTGTATTAGTAATGGTGGCTAACCTAAGATTAGACTTCACTTATTGTTTAACAATAAAAGCAATAAATGTGCTTGTTGCTTAGCTTCTCAGCAATTTAAGTGAAAAGTATCTCTTTCGGACTCTGTAGACTATTTGTATTCAGTCTAAATAAATGTTAGGTAATTCTAATTCATGACAATCACCCTATTATCCCATGAACTATCAGTCATGAACCTAATTGCTATTAAATAGCAATAATTTTGTGTTATCAAATTACACACTAAATCAGCAATTAAACTTAGCTTCTGGCAATAAGTTTGCTTTTACTTTATTGTAGCTATAACCTTGCAAAATATATAGGTTTATAGGAACTAGTTTAAACTGAGCAATTTATCTCTATTTTGCTTCTAATGAAGCAATCAATTGCATTAAATGAACGACTTGGCAGAGAATAAGTTTATCTTTACTTGTTTCGCTGATCGGGGTTGAGCAGAGTTAGGGTAGATCCAGCAGGGTCTTGAGCAATAAGTTTGCTCGAGGATACTGCTGAACCGACAAACCACAATGAACAACAACACACTTGCTAAATTAAAAGTATATAAAGTGCAAGAACAAAAAATAAAATATAACCCAATAAGATGTACTGCTCAAATAAGAATTTAGTTTAATAAGATTGAAAAAAGTTAAAAGAAACAAGAAAATCTTCCAAATTTAAAAGTTTTAGAACGGATTAAAAAAACGACGCTTTTGGAAACAATGGGTTAATAACTATTTCACTGTTTAGTCTAAAAAAAACACAAAATTTCACTNATATGCAATGTTTAGAAATAAAGATAACGCTTGTTAGAGTACTATGTACGTGCAAAAAATCATTAATTTCGAAAACACAGAATTTATTTATAATTAATTAATTAATTCTTTTTAACAAATAACTGTTTATGCAATGCCATACAAAATGTCTATTCAAAAGAAATCCACAAGAAATATTCCCAACGCCATCCATACAGAAAAACGAACATTTTGTAATGGCGAACGAAAAGAAAACGAAAACAACGAACGATTTCTGAATCGTTTGTAAGAAAAAACTTTTAAAAAACCCGTTTTGCCATTTCACCTTGATCTATATTTTTCAATAATCTATATTTTTGTTCTTATTTAAAGGGATCATTCGCGAACAATACAAAGGGGGTATAATAAATATTGAAAAATGGCTAAACTATTGAAAAGCGATCTTGTATTTCCGTCCGATATTTCCGTAGATATAGATGTTTCCGCCAAGAGAATTTTATTTGAACCGTTGAATTAAAGGTTCAACAAACATAAATAAGAATAAACAATATCCTGCTGTACTTAAAATGTACATCGACATACTATTTTCTTCTCTGTGTCCCCTGCCTAGGACAGTGGACAGTGTCCAGAGAATTTAAGAAATCCCGGTCACGTTCCATATTCGATAATTGTGTTTAGAAAAGTAAACTTTCTCTCGCACATTTGATTCTATAAAATCGTTTGTCAGCGCTCTATCCCAGATCCTCGTTACAAGTGCTCATTGTTTAGTTGATATATGAAAAGTGATGAATTTAGAGGGAGTTCAAGTGACCCTCTATGCAAAGATGGCACTGCCCGATGCACAACGGTACCCTAAAAAGCTTTGTCTGATCAAGCATGAATATTTGTAATTTTGAAAACTGATAATTTATTTGTTTGTTTAAATTGTTTCCAATTTTCAAAATTAATTGTGACTTTAATGGATGTTATGATTTTTTTTTATACTATTTTCTCAATTCTTACCCATGGTGAGGAGGGGGAGGGGAATCTAAGTAAGAAAGTCCCGGGGAAAAAAGTTTCTGGAAAAAAACCTGGAAATAAAACTTTGGAAAAAAGTCCGAATTTTCTCAAGTCCTTTGAAAAAGTGTCACTGGAAATAAAGTCCTATTTTTTGGATTCCTGGGAATTTTTTTCCCCTAAAATAGTATGGGGGGGCTGCCATAGAGTCTCAGGAAATAAGATCTCAGGAAAAAAGTCCTGAAGAAAATAGAATCTCCCGTACAAGTGTACTATGTACATTGTACGTCATATACAGCCTACATGGCTAGTTTTATATTCTGAAGTAATATGAAAAAGAAAATGCTAACTAAACTCGTGATAAATATATACAAAAGCGGTCAAGTCTGAGAGGTTTTCATAAAAAAGGACTTTTTTCCATATTGAATATATATATAGCCAGGGGTGTTTAAATATCAAGCCCCTGAAAACCTACGATTATTGATAGGATGTTTACAACCAGAACTTTTTTTCCACTGTGAATCATGCATTTTCACTTGTTAGAGGACTTTTTTTCGAGGACTTTTTTGGCGGTTACCGGGGGAGGAGGAGTAATATTTCTACCACGTATGATATTTTCAACATATAAATAAAAGAATGCTTGCTTTTTCAACCTCATAATTTAGAACAAAATTGATTTATAAAACACTTTATGTCACTGAACGATCTAAAGAGGTTGGTTATTCAAAAATTCTAAACATAGCCTTGAACTTTGCTAATTTTATGTGTGAACAACCTTTCCTGGTTAGTCGGTTTCACTGAATAAAATTATTTATTTTCTTCATGTCAGGCGTTGCACTATTCAATTAAAGAAGAAAAACTGTGTTATTGTGTATTTATTTCAAGTTAAAAAATAATTAAAGAAGCTTTAAAGTCGTTAAATAAAACTTCATTTTATCCAAATATTTGTTAAAAGCACTTTTAATAACTTTCGAATTTCCCTTGGTATAAAAAACTATTTTAAAATAGTCATTTAGACTATAGTGGTGCCGTTTTGGCCTTGTTTTTTTTTTTACTCCATTCTTACAATAAAATTTGATGGGGGGGATCTCATATTTCCGTTTTGTCCCCCTTCCCCCTCTTAAGCCATCGCTGCAAAATAAACAAAAAAAAAGAAAAATAAAGAAATGATTCTGGGTTTCTGCGTTTAAATCTGAAATCCAGTTTAAACTTCCCTCTCCCAGCCTCCCAGGCAGCCAAATATAACAACAACTTTACAAATCAGGGGCGAACCATAGTGTTAAAGAAAGAGGGGGGGGGGGGGGGGGGGGCAAAATTTTAAAAATTTGATTTCTTAACGAGAAAGATTTTTTTCAGTCTTCAATTTTCAAAAAATTCGAAACAAGCCATTAAACTTCGTTATTAAGAAATAGATTATAGATTCTATTAAGCAACTGTGTGTATCAATGATTAACCGGTGGCCGAATTTAAAGAATTTAAGACGCGGCTTAAATCCGCCAAAACCCAGTTAAAATTGAGCGCCGGCATAAATCTTGAAACATTTGATACAATTTTAAGTGAAACCAACCATAATTAAGCCGCGGCTCAAATTCTTTAAATTCGGCCTCAGAAAGAAATTCTTGAACAAGTATTGCGTCTGCAATTATCAA